GGGGTTTATGATAAGAAATTATTTCTCAAGTGCGGGTTCACCAGTCTTCTGTGGCTCTGCTGGATGTACTGGGTTTGGCTCTGGTTCACGTGTGAGATTTCTGTCTACAAATTGCAGGACCTAGGCTGGAAGAGAAGCCATTCTCTGGGGCATGTTGATTTCATGAAGGTGGTAGAGGCTCAAGAGCCCAAGCCAACCACGAGATCACATGTCAAGCCTCTGACCAGATCTGGTATATGTCAACACTCTGCTCTGTTGCATTGCCCAGGGCAAGTCACATTAGGGAGCCAAAGACCAATGAGGCAGGAGTGTGTACTCCTTTCACTGCAAAGTGGGAGGGACAGCGAGTATCTGAAATGCAATAATACAATCTACAGCACTTCTGTTTCCATGGGTTCACCATTCAGGAGAGAACAGTATTAAGAGACTGTTTCTCTCTTGACAATCTCTCGCTATCCAAGTGGGGACTGTCCCACAAAAGGTCTCTCCCTAGAAACCTGCCTGCCTATTTTTTTCCTTTCCTTATCGCAGGTGAACCCTGTGATAAGTTCACCAGGGCAGGACTTAACCCTCTACAAAAGGCAAGTCAGTCTATTAATAGGGCAAAGGATCAGGAAGACCACACCAACTTCAGACAGACTCAAGCTAAGATCCACCTTTACCAGCATAAAACTGATCCCTCCCCCTACCTGACTCCTGTGTCCATTCCTCAGTTGGTTTATAGTATGAAGGGGAGGAGAACTGACTAAGGTTTCACCAATCCCCCAATACTTAGAATGTTGTAACCTCCATCAGGCCCCATCTGGCTAACATATACTCGTTCTTGAACAGTAGTAATAAAACTAATTAGTAATAACAACAACACTCATGTGATCCTTACTGTGTGTTAGATACTAAGTTTTGTTTTCAAATATTTGTTAATTTAAAATCCATGCAATCGGGGCATGATGACTTCCCTGTGTAATCTCAGTGCTTTGGGAGGCTGAGGCAGGAGAATTGTTCGAAGTCAGGAGTTCAAGACCAGCCTGGACAATATAGCAAGACCTCTAAAAAAAAAATGAGCCAGGCATGATGACACATGCCTATGGCCCCACTACTCAGGAGGCTGAGGAGGGAAGATACCTTGAGCCCAGGAGTTTGAGCTACAGTTAGCTATGACTGTGCCACTGCACTCCAGCCTGGACAACAGAGTGAGACCCTGTTTCAATCATCATAATAGTAATTAATAAAACACATGTAAATGCTATAAAGTAGGCACTATTTTTAACAACCACAAATTAAAAGATGAAGGAACTGAGACACAGAGAGGTCAAGTCACGTAACTAGTATCAGAGCCAGATTCCGACTTGGGCAACATGGTGGGAAACCAAGCCCTGAACCACTATGCTTTACTGCTTCTAGCTCCCTTGCACACTGTCTCCCAGGCTGGATGAGCGGAGTCCTTCTCTTACTGATGTCTGCAACGCACCACACAAACTCCTATCACAGCACTGACCACTATAACAGAATAATCTGTTTATGAGTCTGTCTTCTCACCTTAGCTCTGAGATTCTTTTTCTTTTTTTTCTTTTTTTTTTTTTTTTTTTTTTTTTTTTTTTTTTTTTTTTTTTTTTTTTTTTTTTTTTTTTTTTTTTTTAAGAGATAGGGGCTAGCTCTATCACCCACACTGGAGGGTAGGGGCGTCCTTATAGCTCACTATAGCCTGGAACTCCTGGCCTCAAGCAATCCTTCTGCCTCATCCTCCCAAGTAGCTGAGACTACAAGGGGCACAGCACTGTGCCTAGCTAATTTTTTTCATTTTTTGTACAGATGGGAGTCTCATTTTGTTGCCCAGGTCTCGAACTCCTGACTTCAAGTGATCCTCCTGCCATAGCCTCTCAAACTGCTGGGATTGTAGGCATGAGACACCGTGCCCAGTTGCCTTGGAGATTCTTGAGGACATGAAATACATCTTATTCTTACTTTATCTCCTCAACCTAAGAAGATGCTTTTCTTTATTCACTCAATATTACCTGAGCATGACTAATGGCAAGCACTGTGCTAAGTGCTATTTCATTAAGTCTTCAATCCACATGCTGTCCAAGATGATGGAAAACCTGTAAAGTTAGAATAGTAGACTGCAAAAAAACACCCCACAATAATTCACCCCCATGAATCAAGTTCCTGACTCCTTGAATCTAGGCTGGTTTTATGATTTGCTTTGGCCAATAAAATGAAGTGGAAGTGATGTCCAGCCAGTTCCAAGCTTGGACTCAAGGGGCCTTGTCACTTCTGCTCACTCCCTTGAGGCCCTGGGTACTACCACAGGAATAAGCCTGGGCTAGGCCAGCCCACTGGAGAATGGGAGGCCATGTGAAGCAGAGATAAGCCAACACAGCTGAGGCCATCCTAGACCAGCCTGGCCTTGGGTCATCTTACAATTAACTGCAGACATATGGGCCCAGCAGACATAAGTCCCGCCCTGCCTAGAGGAGAGAAGCAACCTGTCAAAACACAGTTTCTTAAACAAATTGCTGTTGTTATAACCTACTAAGTTGTGGAGCTATTTGTTACCCAGCAAAAGCTAATTAATACAATGTCAACCCAGGTTATCCCAAAGATGGTGGTAAGAATTGCAGTGACTCTACACAGACTATCTTGAAATTGAAGAAGTGAGACAGCAACCAGTTCACATGTGGTCCTTGTCAATTAAGCCAAAGACCCCAGTTCTGCCTCTTCCTTTTTGCTCGTACTCCAAAGACTAGTCACATGGTCTGCAAAATGAGAAAGGACCAGGGGTGGTCTAAATATCAGGTGAAAATAAGTCAGACAGGGCAACAGACCCCTTGTTCCAGTCTCCAAGGGTTTCAACACACCAGCTCTCCACCCCTAAGATAAACCTTACTCTACCAGAAAGTGACTATCAGGTATCTCAGAATTAGAATATTTCAAGAGAATGTTCAATGACAGTTGCATGCAGTGGCTCATGCCTGCAGTCCCAGCACTTTGGGAGGCCGAGGCAGGAGAATCACCTGAGGTCAGGAGTTCAAGACCACACCGGCCAACATGGCGAAATGCAATCTCTACTAAAAATACAAAAATTAGGCAGGTGTGGTGGTGAGCACCTGTAATCCCAGCTACTTGGGAGGCTGAGGCAGGAGAATTGCTTCAACTAGGGAGGAAGAGGTTGCAGTGCCAAGATCACGCCACAGCACTCCAGCCTGGGCAACAGAGAGAGACTCCACCTCAAGAAAAAGAGGCAAAATAAAGTGCCAGGAAAGACTCTTATGTATTCAAAGGGAATGAAGCCAGTTCCTTCAGAAGTGACATGGATCTTAAAAAGGACACATGTGTGGGATTTTTTTTTTTTTTTTTGGTTCGTGATTAAGGACTCTGCATTTCTAGAAAGGGATGAGAAACTTCCTGTTCTCTCACCAAGTCCTTACTCCTCTGCCTAGGCAAAGCTTTCCATTACCACCTAATGAGCTCTGTCTCAAAAAACTAAGAGTAGCTTCTGACTCTCCAGGAAAGAGGAGCATCCTTTTTATTGGCTTCTTCATGCCCTGCTGTATTTACATAGCCCAAGTCAATAGCCTCAAGGTGCATTTCTCTGTTGTAAGTAGGAGACGAGACTTCCTCAAAAATGGCCTTTTGTAAGGTATTTATTGACAAAAAATTTAGTGAACTGGCACAGTGCTAGGTCCTGAAAATAAAACAGTGAAAGGACACAGGACCTGCCTGCTAGAAGAAGGGGGACATGGAGAAGGACAACAAAGAAGAGGAAGGGGAGAAGATCCTTATAACTACCACAGGGCTTTGCTTCTTCAGTTTGTGTATTTCATTTTGTTTCAAGCTTTCGTGTATTGAGACCCTGGCACCGTGCCAGGCTCAGGGAAGAAAAGTGTATTAAGAAAATAAACAGGATCTATTTTCAGAAAGATAATAGTAATTTTATTAATAACATTGGTATGATAACTTCCTTGGTCTTATTTGCTTTTACTTGTTTGTTGTAAAATCTTATAACATTTGCTATGTTAACCATTTTTTAGTGTACAGTTCAGTGGCATTCAGTCCATTCCCATTGTTGTACAAATGGGATGTAATCAAACTAAAGAGCTTCTGCACAGCAAAAGACACTATCGTCAGAGTGAATAGGCAACCTACAGAACAGGACAACATTTTTGCAATCTATCCATCCAACAAAGGTCTAATATCCAGAATCTACAAGGAACTTAAATTTACAAGAAAAGAACAAGCAGCCCTATCAAAAACTGGACAAAGAATATGAACAAACACTTCTCACAATAAGGCATTTATAGGGCCAACAAACATATGAGAAAAAGCTCACCATCACTGGTCACTAGACAAATGCAAATCAAAATCACAATGAGATACCATCTTACACAAGTTAGAATGGCAATATCATTAAAAAGACGGGAAACAACAGATGCTGGAGAGGATGTGGACAAATACCAATGCTTTTACACTGTTGGTGGAAGTGTCAGTTAGTTCAATCATCATGGAGACAATGTGGCAATTACTCAAGGATCTAGAACCAGAAATACCATTTGGCCTAGCAATCCCATTACTCGGTATATACCCAAAGGATTATAAATCATTCCACAACTATGTTTATTGCAGCACTATTTACAATAGCAAAGACTTGGACCCAATCCAAATGCTCATCAATAATAGACTGGATAAAGAAAATGTGGCACATATACACCATGAAATACTATGCAGCCATAGAAAAGAATGAGTTTATGTCCCTTGCAGGGACATGGATGAAGCTGGAAACCATCATTCTCAACAAACTAATACAGAAACAGAAAACCAAACACCACATATCCTCACTCATAAGTGGGACCTGTAAATGAAAACACATGGACACAGGGAGGAGAACATCACACACCCAGGCCTGTGGGGGCCGGAGGAGGGGGACTGGGGGGCAGGCAAGGGGAAAGAGAGCATTAGGACAAATATCTAACGCATGCAGAACTTAAAACCTAGATAACGGGTTGATGGGTGCAGCAAAACCACCATGGCACATGTAAACCTATGTAACAAATCTGCACATTCTACACATGCATCCCAGAACTTAAATTAAAAAAAAAAAAAAAAATGGTTGGTGTCATGGTGGCCAGTGAGTTGGTAGGAGGGGTCCATGGAACTGCGGAAAGTCACTAAAACAGAGGTAGAACTGGCCCAATCTGGACAGCGGGAATTCGTGGGAATGAGCAAAAGACCCTGCATGGATGACTGCCTCACTAGAGGAGAGCCCCTGGTAAAGTCCCAGGCCAGACTTTCAAGGATACTTGGTTGGATCGTCGGATGGTGCTAAAAGTTTTTTTCCCATGTGGACCAGGTCATTTGCTAAACTCGCTGTGATGGCGTCCTGGTTTGGGGGCCTCAGCTCCAGATGGGGCCAGTCTCTGGGTCAAGTCAGGGGGAGCCTGGCTTCCCTTGGTGGCCAGATTTCAAACTTTACAAAGGTTATGCTGATGGAGGAAGTGGAAGGATAATTACCTGATTTTAGGACAAAGAAATTGAAGTCATTCATAAAATCTTGAGGTCAGAGAACGAAAGTCCTAAGAAACTTTGTACTGATCTACAAGAGAAAAATAAAGCATCACAACTTCAAACGAAACAGCAATCTACAGGTCACCAAAATCAACTTCAACAAAAAGAGGTGGAAATCCACCATCGTAAAGCCAGACAGACTGCGCTCCAGGAAGAGTTGCTGAAACTGCAGTCAGGTGCTCAGTCAGTACCTTCAGGAGCTGGCAGTATACCAGCAACCACTGCATCTTCATTCGTTGATGGGATTAGTCATTATCCTTCACCTTTCCATGACAATGACACAGGTTTTCATGATACAATTTCATCCCAACGAGAAATAAACAGACTCTCAAATGAAGTTTCAAGACTTGAGTGTGAAGTTGTCTACTGGAGAGATATTGTGGAGACTCTAAAAGTGGAAAAAGTGGAGATAGAGGCAGAATTGCATCAGGCTGAAAAGAGGCGGTTGGAAGAAGCATACAAGCATGAGAAAATCATTGAAGAACTGTCAAATGCATGTACCTTGAATACCTCTGCCTTGCAGACAGAACATGAGCATTTAATAACTCAAAACGAGTATTGGACAAATGGATGCTGATCATAACCAAACTAAGGACATTTTGTCATCTAGTCTAGAAGAGCAGAAGCAATTGATACGACTTTTAACCGAGAAAGAAATTTTTATTGAAAAACTTCAAGAAAGAAGTTCAAAGCTATAGGAGGAACTGGATAAATATTCTCAGGCCTTAAGAAAACATGAAATTTCTAGACAGACCATACAGAAAAAGGACAGAAGTCTTGGATCCATGAAAGAAGAAAATAATCACCTGCAAGAAGAACTGCAATGACTCAGGGAACAGCAGAGTCAAACTGCACCTGTGGCTGACCCGAAAACCCCTGATAATGGTACTGAATAGAATCCGAGGTATCTCAACTGAACATGATCAAGGATCATCTTAAAGAGGACACTGAACACCATCCAAAGATAACTGAGGATCAAAACCAGAGTAAGATGCAACTATTTCAGTCTTTACAAGAGCAGAAGGAGGACATGGATGAGTTGAGACACCAGCATGAGCAAATGAACGCCACACACACCCAGCTCTGTTTAGAGAACGATGAGGAAATTCAGTGTTTACAAAAAACAATCGAACCAATCAAAACTCAGTCTCATGAAGAAAAGCAGGAGACTCAAACAGATAACTCTGATGTTTTTCAAGAAACCAAAGTTCGGAGCCTTAATATAGAAAATGGAAGTGAAAAGCATGATAGATCTCAAGCTGAAACAGAAAGATTAGTGAAAGGAATCAAAGAGCGGGAACTGGAGATTAAACTTCTAAATGAAAAGGATATAGCTTTAACTAAACCGACTGATCAGTTGTCCAAAGATGAAGCTGGTCAACCAACTCAGATTATTCAGCAGAGATTTGGAGACACAAGTTCTTCATGCTAGAATGTCATCAACTTCCTATACTCAAGATGTTGTTTACCTTCAATAGCAACTTCAGGCCTATGCTATGGAGAGAGAACAGCTATTCGCTGTTTTGAATGAGAAGACTAGGGAAAATAGCCAACTAAAAACAGAATATCACAAAATGATGGACACAGTTGCTGCCAAAGAAGCAGCTCTCATCAAACTGCAAGATGAAAATAAAACATTGTCCACAAGATTTGAAAGCAATGACCAAGACATGTTTAGAGAAACTCTTCAGAATTTATCACATGTCATTCGAGAGAAAGACATTGAATCAGATATACTAAGCCGGAAATGTCAGACTTTATTGGCAGTTTTACGCACATCCAGCGCCGGTAATGAGGTTGGAGGTGTTAACAGTCATCAATTTGAGGAGCTCTTAAAGGAACGTGACAAGTTAAAATAGCAAGTGAAGAAAATGGAGGAGTGGAAACAGCAGGTGATGACCACATTACAAAACATGCAACATGAGTCCGCCCAGCTTCAGGAAGAACTTCACCTACTTCAGGTACAAGTTTTGGTTGACAGTGATAATAATTCTAAATTACAAGTGGACTATACTGGCCTGATCCAAAGTTATGAGCAGAACGAAACCAAACTCAAAAATTTGGGGCAGGAATTAGCACAAGTTCAGCACAGCATTGAGCAGCTTTGCAATGCCAACGATCTTTTAGGAAAACTTGCTATTATTTCACCCCGGCTGTCTTCAGTATCATTGCTGACTCCCCAGTCAGCAGAGTCTCTTAGAACAAGTGAGTCTGATGTACTGAATGAATCTTCTGAATTACCACAGCAAGAGCTAGGAGAGCTCAGAAAATCACTACAGGAAAAAGATGCAACGATTAGAACTCTCCAGAAAAATAATCACAGATTGTCTGATTCACTTGCTGCCACCTCAGAGCTAGAAAGAAAAGAACATGAAAAAACCGATACAGAAATTAAGCAGCTAAAGGAGAAACAATATGTTTTGCAAAAGTTCCTTAAGGGAGAAGAACTCTTAATCAAAGCCAAAAATGATCAATTACGTTCTTCCAATGAAAATTTCACTAACAAAGTAAATGAAATCGAACTTCTGAGGCAAGAGGTAAAAAACCTGAAGGACAGAATATTAATCCTAGAGATGGACACTGGCAAACTAAAAGAAGAAAATGAAAAAAATAGTAGAAACATCCAGGGAAAAGGAAACAGACTATCAAGCATTACTAGAGACTATCATGAAGTTTTCTATGATGCTGCAAGAAAAAGAGTTTGAGTGCCATTCAATGAAGAAGTCTTTCGCTTTTGAAGAGCTATTGAAAGAAAAAAAACAGAACAAGACTGGGGAGTTCATTCAGCTTGTAAATACAGTTAAATCAACGTAGAAGACACTTGTATTTCAACAAGAGAGACACCAAGTCATGTTGGCCCTGAAACAAAAACAAATGGAAAACACTGCCCTACAGAATGAGGTCCAACGTTTACGTGACAATGAATTTCGGTCAAACCAGGAGCTACAGAGATTGCGTAATCATCTTCTAGAATCAGAAGATTCTTATACTTGTGAGGCTTTGGCCACAGAAGATAGAGAGGCTCAACTAAGAAAGTAAGTCACAGTATTGGAGGAAAAGCTAGTTTCACCCTCTAATGCAATGGAAAATGCAAGCCATCAAGCCAGTGTGCAGGTAGAGTCAATGCAAGAACAATTGAATGTAGTCTCCAAGCAAAGGGATGAAACTGGGCTGCAGCTTTCTGCCTCTCAGGAACAAGTAAAGCAGTATGCTCTGTCACTGGGCAACCTGCAGATGGTACTACAGCATTTCCAACAAGAGGAAAAAGCTATGTATTCTGCTGATCTGGAAAGAAAAGTGATATCACTACAGGAACATTTGGATGTAGCAAATGCTGCACCAGATTCAGCATCAAGACTTAAAGAACAAATTGAAGAACTTAAAAAACAAAATGAGTTCCAACCAGAAATGCTGGATGATGTACAAAAGAAATCGATGAACTCAGCAAACAGTTCAGAAGGAAAAGTGGGCAAAGTCCTAATGAGAAATCTCTTCATCGGTCATTTCCACACGCTGAAAAATCAGCGTCATCAAGTGTTATGGTTGATGGGGAGCATCCTGGGTGTCAGAAGGGAGGAGACGGAGCAGTTGTTTCATGAGCATCAGGTTGGTGTTACCAGGTGGATAACCGGGTGGCTTGGAGGAGGATCACAAAGTGTTCCCAACACAACTTTGAAATCAAATCAGCAATCTGTACTTCATAGTTCTTTATCAGAACTTTTTGTTAAATTTCTAGAAACAGAATCTCATTCATCCCTTCCACCACCAAAGCTTTCTGTTCACGATATGAAACCTCTAGATTCACCAGGAAGGAGAACACTAGATACAAATGCACCATAAAGTTTTAAAGATACAGCAGAATCCAGGTCTGGTAGAAGAACAGATGTAGATCTGTTTTTGGCTCTTCACTCAGCAACCGTGCCTCTTATTAACCCAGCTGGACTTGGGTACTTGGACCTGGTGGGCCCCAACATCACCTTTTGAAACTCATCTCAGATATTTGGCCCACATTTATACCTTTGCCAGTGTTACCTGACAACAGTGCTGGAGTTGCGTTGAAAGACCTTTTAAAGCAATAGAAGATTCTCAAGCCAGAGACAATCTAGCACTTCAAAGAAACCATGAACACTATATGAATGTACTTTATCACAAAATGGCCTTTTGCAAAAAGTCATGTATTTGTTTGTAGCTGTGCTTCCTCTGAATAAAAAATATTCCTAATGTTTTTAGAAATTCCAGGTGTCAGCAGCAAGTGTTTGCTATAAAATCTGCTTTATTCGTTCTGATGTGACCTAATTTAAGCTAGGAAGATTTATCTTTTATCTTAACTTACAAAAATACAGACAGACAAAAATACTAATAGCTTTTATTTCCTTCTATGATTTCCAAGCCCACTTAAGCTAGAGATTGTGGTTTATCACAAGAATTTTTTTGGTTGTTTTTTGTTTTTGTTTTTGTTTTGTTTTTGTTTTTGTTTTTTTCCCATTTATTTTATTGCATTTTAGGTTTTGGGGTACATGTGAAGAACATGCAAGATTGTTGCATAGGTACACACATGGCAGTGTGATTTGCAGCCTTCCTCCCCATCACCTACATCTGGCATCTCTCCCCTTGCTATCTCTTCCCAGCTCCCCAACCCCCACGGTCCCTCCCCTATTTCCCCCCAACTGACCCCAGTGTGTAGTGCTCCCCTCCCTGTGTCCATGTGTTCTCATGTTTTTTAATGACAAAGTAGCTTCTCTGTGTTGTGTGGAAAGTTGATCTGAAGCATATATTGATCATCTTTAGAGGACTTTGTGTAAACAGGCCAACAAGATTGTCCCTGAAAGGTTATGAAAGGTTACAGGTGCCCTGAGACAAAGGTTACAGGTGCCCTGAGTATGTATTTGGTCCCTGAAAGGTTACAGGTGCCCTGAGTATGTATTTGGTCCTGTGCAATGTCATCATGTGTGTAGATTCTTTTATTATAGTTGTCTTAAATAGAGATGGAGTCTCACTATGTTTCCAGGCTGGTGTTGAACTCCTGGGCTCAACTGATCCTTCACCCTCAGCCCCACAAAGTGCTGGGATTACAAGCAAGAGCCACTGCGCCCAGCCCTGTGTGTAGATTCGTGGGACTACCACCATAGTCAAGATACAAAACGCTTCCATCACAAGCATCCCTCCCGTTGCCCTCTCATAATCATAGCCACCTCTCTCCCTGTCCCTCTCCTGAATTCCTGATAACCACTAACTGCTCTCCATCTCAGTCATTTTGTTATTTCAAGAGTGTTATATAAATGGAATCAGTATGTCACCTCTTGAGACTGGCTTTTTTTCACTCAGCATAACTCCCTTGAGATCCATCCAAGTTTTTGGATGTATCACTAGTTTGTTCCTTTTTATTGTTGAATATATAGTACAGATATATCGCTTCGTTTTAACAGCTATTTAAATATATCATCTTAAAATTAAATGTTTCTTTATACAAATTCATACAGCTTTCATGTAAGTGTTAAATCATACAGCTGCATATACATAAGTATAATTAGCAATATCACTGAACATGCCACTTCCTGGCATATGAGGTACAGCAATCCGAGAGTTAACTGTTCTCATCACAGTGGCCACTGAGGGCAATGAACTGTTTGATAGCACCAATACCCAGATGTCTGAAACTTCGGAGAGTATTTCTTTAATTTTTTATAAACCCATCGTAAAAAAATCCTGACTTGAAACTTAACTGTATCTGAATGTTCATATTTTCATTAGCTGAATTTGTACATTTAGAAAGACATTTCTTGCAAATTCTGTAAATTTCTATGTGCCTTTAAAATAATAATATTAATTAACAAAGAAAGGTGAAAATGAGACAAATTCAAATATGTTAAGAGGCCTGGCTCAGGCGAGAACTAAATTTGGTTGTTTGCAAGTTTTGCTGTGATTAACTGTACTTTCTAATGTATTTGGAAGACTGGAAGTCTTCATTACATGTTGATGGGTGAAACTTGTTTTTCTGAAAAATGAAGTAACTGAGAATGCTGCTTCAGAATGTCTCTATCTCCTTGGATAACTAATTTATATTGCCATGCTTTATTTAGTATATTTTAAAGAAAGTAGTCATACAAGTTCTATATTAGAACTGTCAAACTGCCTCCTCTTGGTTTTTTGCCCATTATTATTTCTCTATGAGTTGTTTTCCCTTGTTGTTTTGGGTTTTGTTTTGCTTAGTTTTGCTTTGTTTCGAGATGGAGTTTCGCTCTTGCAGACCAGGCTGGAGTGCAATGGCGCCATCCAGGCTCACTGCTACCTCCGCCTCCCCGATTCAAGTGAATCTCTTGCCTCAGCCTCCCAAGTAGATGGGATTATAGGTACGTGCCACCATGCCAGGCTAACTTTTGTATTTTCACTAGAGACAGGGTTTCGCCATGTTGGCCAGGCTGGTCTCGATCTCCTGACCTCAGGTTATCCACCTGCCTTGGCCTCCCAAAGTGCTGGGATTACAGGAGTGAGCCACCACACCCAGCCTACTCCTTGACTCCTAATAAAAATACCTTCACTGACTATTCTACATTATTTGCTGCTTGCCATTGAAGTTTCATTTCAGTGTGGAGCGAATGAAATACTAGTTTCTAAGTTAAAAAACACACATGGTCCTTTATTTTTAAGAAATAAAATACGTAAAAAGTTTTTAATTTGACAAAGATATGCATGATTGGTATTTAGGTAGTATGTCATCACATTTGAAATGCCTTTTTTGACTTTTTTAGTATTTCCTTCTCTGACCAAATCAGCCTGTCCCCGTCTCATCCCATAGTTTAACACAAGTTTAAAAGCTATTGTGGGTGGATTACATAGCTAAACATCACAGAGCTTAGTACTAAATGGTTTCTATATAAACAAGTTTATGATCTTATCCTAAATCTATAGTACCTAATGTTTTCGTTGTGTCATTGAAACTATAGCTGACTGGTATGCATAGTAAGTGTTCCTTGATCTAAACCAGAGAAAACACATCCACTTTTCTGAAACTTAGTTGTGTCAGGGATGAACCACCTGCTCACTGAACCGTCTTAGTAAGCAGACAGTGATGAAGCATACAATTCTAACGCTGGCAATAGGACATTGCTAACAGTGCATTTAACTGCAATATTTTAACTACAGTAATATTTCTGTTTATTGGTTGAATTCCAATCTCTCTGCCATAGTTCTTCACTACGTTCCTAATGGTTTTCAACCTCTCTACTGCAGTAGAAAATGCACACAGCCATTGAATTTAAACACTATTTTACCATAATAGGAGATCAAATTGTCTGAATTTTCATTCCTGCCATTCTTGACTTTTAACAAATGAAAGGAAGAAAAAACAAAACTAAACAACAAA